TGCTTTAATTGAATAAATTCAGCACGCTTCTCTTCACGGAATCGGGCTGGGATATATTCCTTCTTGAACACCCAATCAAAGAATTCCCAAGTCCAAGGTTTGGGTGTGTTTGGATTTTCCTTAGTGCGTTTCCTCCATTCGTAGGCTTCCTTGCGGAGGAATTGAGATGCAAATTTTGGATGGTCAACAAGAGGTATGTTCAGATTTTGTAGTACACGAGCGGTCTGCTCGATCCATTCAACAGCAATTTGGGGTTCGGCACTTCGATCTCCTAGAAACTCCTCAGCACCATTGTCTTTCAAGGTTTTGAAAGTGATCAAACGAGGTGGTGATGGAGGGGTTTGAAACACAGGGGCATTGGTTATTTGTTGCAAGAGGTTTACCATTAAGGTAGGTAGCATAGCGCCAGGTTGACTTTCAATATTTTGATCATTTTGGGGAACATGTAGGCAGTTCACTTGTTCACTTTGAATAGGAGGTGTGAAACTGGATACTTCCGGTATGAACATTTTCGTGCCCATCGCTTGGCACTTGGTTACCTTGATCGTGAACGGTTTCATGACTCATTCTACAATAATAGAAATTCCTTCGTTAGGATTCTTGACGAGTTGACAACGGGTATTTATTCAGACTATATCGATGTTTAAGTCACTAATCGTGTCATAACAATGTGTCACTTCATTCAACAAGATTGAACTATCCATAGCTTCTAGCAAGTAGGTTCCTTTGAATTTGACCGAACAAATTGTCAATACATAGTAAAGGGTAGCAATTCTTGATCGTCAGTTTGTCTATCTTAACAGAGATGTGATAGTATCTTTGACCGTAAGTCAATGTTAGAGAGCACAATGGATTCTCTAAGCTGATCAAATAAGTCATAGGTACGAAATAAGGATAATGTCAATTTCCTTGTATGATAAAGTTTTGCAAGGAATTGTAGTTGAACGAACGATTTCAATTCGTATGATAAAATCGCATATTTGCGTTGTAATCAGAATGGGATATTTTCAGACAATAGAGTCTATTGATTTTAAACGTTCGTGTTTGGATCAGCGATCCGATCGTCCTCAAACCATATGAGGATCTTTGACAGCAGCTTCACAGATGTTATTCAACATTAATCGTTTCTTCATAGTCATCTCACTTTTATGTGATTTTACGAGGCAAATCAGTTTTGTCATTCGCGATGCGATAAGTACGTTGATAACATATCAGAGAGTCATATTTTTTTTATTCTTTCGGCTCTTCACCGAGTATGAAAAATCTATTTGAGTCTATGCTCGATATAATTTCAGTACTAACAACTGTTCTCTAATGAGAATTCTAAGAGAGTAAATATTTTCCAAGTAATTTCTCATTCCTTTCCTGGAGCAGAGGGATGCGAGAGTTGTGGATGTGATTGACACATTTTTTTAAATTCAAATTTTTGATCTGAAGATCGGTTTTAAAACCATTTGCTCCGATACCAAACTGTAACACCCTAATCCATCCAGGTCTGCAGCCCCATTCGGACTAAAGTATTTAACTTGGTAATCATAAAAATTTAAAACTTTTCAAACACACTTTATTAATCCCAATAATATTTTTCATAACATATACAGTACAGAGTATTCAACAATATTGCGAAAGTGATTTTAATATTGACATATCATAAATTCTTTCAAAACTTGTCACATCCATCCCGACAATCTCGCCCCATCTGCCATCAGGATCACACTGTTTTTTCTGTTTACCTGCGTGTAGCAAATGAAACACACTAAACGCTCAGCGGTAAAGCTGAGTAAGCCTATCTAATGCGTCCAACATCCATATAAACTGAATCTAAATTCGTAATCAAATCATTTGATATCATGCACACAATGTTCATTCCAGTCATTCACAGTTTTGATAATGTTCAGTTCAGATACACATTTTATTCAATTCTGATATTATTCCGACAGTCCCCTTATTCTTAATCTAAGGCCAAATCATGATAATGCACTTAGCTATTCTTAGTCTAAGGCCAAATCATAATTTCCATAACCAGATTCTTAAAAGGCAATCATTAATCAGACACTTAAACTATCATTAGTTTAAGTGAATTGATTTCGGAGACTTAACTGTAGTCAGTTAAGGAAATCAGACACTTAAACTATCATTAATTTAAGGCAAATGATTTCGGACACTTAACTGTAGTCAGGTAAGGCAATTAGACACTGAAAGTATCATTAGTTTAAGGCAAATGATTTCGAACACTTAACTGTAGTCAGTTAAGGCAACAACAATATAGCGAATGGTCAACATTGGATTGGGCATTCCCAAACGAGTGATCCTCTAGTTTGGACTATGAATCCCGTTTATGCATTTTTATCTAATCCATGAACTAGCTAATAGGTATATCTTAAAGTCTTCTAGATATCCTTAACAGTACACATCATTTTCTTATTGATCAATTTATTCATTTTGAATTATGTTTCGATGATTCATAATCATAATTTAATTCAAGATAGTCAAACAAACATATCTATTCATAATTTCATCTTTACGGTTCTTTCGTTCAATTCCATATACTTTTATTTGTCATAATAAAATCATGATCGTTATGTAGTCATAATCACTCGGGTCGTCCATTTGATCATCATAATCAATATTTATTATCAATGATATTCCATTATCCATTATAATAACCATTTATTCAGGATATTATCAAGGTTTGATCACAATAGTCATAATAACATTTATTAACAAATAGCGGTCTAGTTTCGAGTGTTAACACCCTAGCTTACCGTCATGCATCAAACAAAGCTTTCTGTTAGAATAAAAGACCAACGCTAGAGAGGGGTTAATAGCGTTTGATTGTAGAAATCGCAGAAATAAAAAATTTAAAGGAGAAGAAAAGAGAAGAGTAAGAGGCACACCGAATTTACCCTGGTTCACCACAACTTGTTGCTAATCCAGCCTCTCGAGAGACTCTCTCGAGCGACACTACTATCCCGTTAAGCTTAACGGTGCTTAACAAACCCTTACAACTTGAGAATTCGAGTCACACGAACCTCAACGAATCCTTTGAAAGAAACAGCCCTTCCTTCGAATCAAACGAGAGAAATACTTTCTCTCATTGTGTCTTCGAACACAAATACACTCAAGAACGAGACTCTCTTTTAGAGTAGATATTGAGTAAACTAAGTACGCTCAAGAACAACTCAAACTTCACACGGATTGACTCTAAAAAGCTATGGAAAATGATGTTGTTTGAATGCAATGATAGTATGAATATTGTGAAATGAATTGGTGTGTAAAGCAGACCCAAACACCTCTTTTTATAGTGCCAAAATAGGCTCCAACGGACCAATGCATTAAAGAAGTGATTGACATGATTTATGGGATTGATTAAAATGGATCTACAGGATATTGGCTTCCCAGCGATGTATGGACCTTACCCATCGCTGGTAAGCCAATTTTCCTTCAGTTTTGAAGCCAACGGTCACCTACCCATCGATGGGTACAAGCATCCCATCGCTGGGTGGGAGGTTGACTTCCAAACAAGGAAAGAATCAACCTTAAATGACTTACAACGGTCATGCCTTCCTAGCGATGGTTATGCCTTCCCATCGCTGGGTTCCCATCGATGGGTAAAGGTTCCCATCGCTGGGTAAGGGCATTCTGCCTTGTGTTAATGTTGGATCAAGGCTTTAACAGCGATGGGTAGAACTTCCCATCGCTGTTTGGCATGGTTCTAGAACTTGGTTGGGCTAAAGGACCACTTACCCATCGATGGGTAGATCTTCCCATCGCTGGGTGGGTGGTTAGTCAAAAACCCATGGTTTTTGCCTTAACCACGGCCTAGCCAACGATGCAAAAACCAACCGAAAAATCCAAAGTTCTCCGAAATAAAAACCAAGTGTTTTAAACACTTATTTGATGTATTTGACTAAGAAATCAAGTGAGAGACTTTAAAAACCACGTCATTCGAGTAAAAACCACGGCTAGCCAAGTATATGTCGTTTTGCGTGGTTTTTGCCAAACTACCAAAAACGAAAGGTGGTTTTCATGGTGTTTTTGTTGGAGAACTGTTTAAACATTCCAAAGAGTGAAAACCAATCATAAAATGTTGAAAACCACTTGGTTGGTTCGGACGCCAAAAACCAACGCCGAAAACTGAATGCCGAACGCCGGTTTCTGAAAGCCGAATGCTAGATGGCTTGGTTTTTGGTTTGGGGGAACACCAAGTGTTTTTGATGTTTTAAACATGTTTAAAAAACATTTTTATGATGTTTGAAATGCAACGAAAAGAATTTTAGCCTAAAGAGCCAGGGTGTAAAGGTTGGGCCGGTCTTGATCACAATTGTGACCGACTCAACACACTAAGACTGCGGTCTTTGTTCTTGGTCTTCTTTTGGCGCTTGTTCTCTTCTTCGTTCTTCGCCAATTATATTCAACGACTTGTCTCGTTCTCGACGGTTTGGCATTATCAAAACCTGTCATAAAGACGAACACGGCTTTAGTACGAAAATGTGACAAGCCCGTGTTTCAACACTTTCAAACTTGTCCTAATATCATTTTTATTTCCATAAATCATATTCATATTGTTCATAATTGAGTGGTATCAAAAATAGGATTTTATAGCTTCAAAAATAGCATTTTCGGACTGAAAAATGTTCGTAAAGGGCGATCGTTGGGTCTGAACGGTCGACCGTACCGTTCTGAAAATTTTCTCTTCTGACGGTACCTGGTAACGGTACTTAGAGATGGTACCAGGCCCGTATCAGCACAGAAAATTACTATTCATCATTATGCGGCCATTTTCCTCAAACTTCAATTTAGGTTACCAAACTTCAATTGAACTATATAGAAATGTTCTCCAAGATTCGTAGATCATTTTAGAGGCATCAATTCGAAGTTTTAACAACAAATTCAAGGTTTATGATTCTTGGTTCCTCAAACATGTCAAACACAAAACTCAACAAAACAACCGTTTATGAACGTAGAAACGATCTATACGAACATTCTAATCAGTAGATATATCTACGGGCTTACCTCGAAGGTAAATGAAGGTTTTGAAGATTTTCCGGCAAAACTTCCGGCGACGATTACTCTCAACTTTGGCGACTTCTTACCAAACTGACAGCACCACAACGTTCTCTACCCTCAAGGCTATCTCTCAGAACTTATTTGAAGAAGAATGGTGAAGAAATGAGGAAGTTTAGGGAGTTTATATAGTAGAGATGAGAGGAAGAAGACATGGAAGCTGAGTTGTTGCTGTGTAGACTTCCAATTCGCGATCTTCATTCGGCGGAGGTGCAATTTTAGGCGATTCACCACGTTACTTCCCTGATTGGGACTAATTTGGTCCCAGTCGGGGTACACTTTTTGGTCCAACTTTCTCTGAATTGAAATCCGTTTGCAACGTTGCGATCAAACAGTCGAATTCAATCCAACTATATAATTTTTATATTTATTTGAAATACTTTTTCTGACATCATATTTTTGAGTGTTTGACTTTGACAGAGTCAAAATTGGTTTATTTAACGTTTATTCAAAAAGGTTCTCACTTTTAATTCATATCATTTTATTTCAATAAATCATTTTGAAGTTCATATTATAAATAATTTCTTCATTTATTCTTGATTTTGGCTTGTACTCAGGTTCCTAATCAAGATCACACAAATAGTCAACATATTGGATTTTTCTCTTTGAGACTTATCTTGATTTTGATATTGGATAATAAAAAATATTTCATATCGGCCTAAAGCCCAACAATAATTTATTTTAATAAAAAAAATTTGATTAATTGAATAATTATTCTTTAATAATTCTAGGGTATGTTTTGGGGCGTTACAGGTGGAGTGCGAGAAGTACCTTCAAATGCTGGATGAGCAAGACCACAGAATATGTGCATACCTCTCCCAAATTGGTCAAACAAGATGGGCATGCTGTAAAAGTGGTCCATACCGCCACTTTGTAATGACTTCAAACGCTGCAGAATCAATGAACAATGTCAACAGCTCAGCACGTGAATACCCCATTTGCAAGCTAGTTTATTTCATTCGCGAAATGATGCAGAAATGGTTTCATGAACGATTTGAAACAGCCTCATCTACATCAACCATACTTCCAAAGAAGCTTGAGTCGGAGTTAATTACACTACAACGTGACGCATTTGAGATGAAGGTATACACTCACTTCCTGTATATGATTCTACACTGCATTATTAACATTCCAAATTGGTATAGGTTAAGCCAGCATGGCCATACGAGTTCAAGATTGTTGACGGGTGGACCCAGTCATTTGTGGTCAAGCTCAGAGACAAGTCATGTACATGCGGGGACTTCCAATTGGACCATTTTGTATGTGTCCACGCTTTGGCAGCAATAGGATCTCGTCCAAGATTGTCATGCTATAATTTCATCTCTCCTTACTACAAACGCGAAGCATTGGTAGCCACCTATAGCGGTATTGTGCACCCATTAGGAGACAAGTCCACGTGGGACATCCCTACCGATGTCAAAACAATGGTTTGCAAGCCCCCATCATGCAACAAGCGCCCCCCTAGGAGGCCAAAGAAGAGGAGGCTACCATCCGTTGGTGAATTTCACTCCGGCAAAGGTCGGAAAAAACAAAAGTGCACCCGGTGCTTGAAGATGGGACACAATATAAAAACATGCAAAAACCCAATACCAACTTGACAATGCTTATTATTTTTTTCAATCTTGCGTTTCAATATTTAATGACCTTCCACATCTCTTCAAAAAAAATAACACACCCTTTAAATTTCACTGCATGGTTTACGCACTTCTTGGACGGTGTCATTGTTTTTTTCCGACCCAACTCCTATGATATACAAATTCATTAACACTCTTTCTAAATGTAGCCAAATTATGTAATAATCACAACCACAACGATTCAAACCTATTTGCATACTACCTCTGTCACACCAACCAATAATAGATATAAACATTTGTTAGAAAAATGTCCCAACGCTAGAGGGGGGGGGGTGAATAGCATTTGAAACGAAAATGATGCAGGAATATAAAATTAAAAGCGTAAAGTAAAGAGCAAGGAAGAGGCACACCGTTTTTACCCTGGTTCACCACAACGTGTGGCTAGTCCAGCCTCCCGAGAGACTCTCTCGAGCTACACTATCAACGATAAGCTTAACGGTTCATAACAAACCCGTACAACTTGAGAGTTCGAGTCACGCGAACCTCAACAACCCTTCGAAGGAAACAACCCTTCCTTCGAACTACTCAAGAGAAAAACTTTCTCTTATAAAGTGTCTAAGAACACTAAATTACTCAAGAACAATACTCTCTTTGAGAGTGGATAATGAGTAACTAAGAACGCTCAAGAACACAACACGAACTTCACCAAAATGGCTCTCGAAAAGCTATGAATAATGTATGAATGTAATGCAATGAATAATAAGAGTTGTGAAGTAATGTGATATGTAAAGCAGACCCAAACACCCCATTTTATAGTAGAAAAATAGGCTCCAATGGGTAGGAGTTGAATGGGGGTGATTGGCAAAATTTGTAGGATTTGATTAAAATTGGATCTGCTGAAAATCAGCCTCACAGCGCAGTCCATGACTTGGACATCGCTGTTCTAGGCTTAGATTTTGAAAATTGGGAAGCAAAGGTCAAGCCAACAGCGATGTCCAAAAGGCCTACATCGCTGTTTTGGCTGTTGACTTCCAAACATGGAAAGTTTTAGCCATAAATTCCTTCCAACGGTCAGGTGCCTACATCGATGTTCAGTACTTGAACATCGGTGTTCAGGCCTGACTTTGAAGGATGAGAAAATGGCCTGACATCGCTGTTGCTGGGTCAACATCACTGTCCAAAAACTTTCTTCCAGAAGCATTTCTTTTTGGCTTAGGTTGGACAGCGATGTAGGGTAGTCTACATCGCTGTTCCAGATGTTTCTGGAAACCCAACCATGGCTCAACAGCGATGTCTAACATCCAACATCGCTGTTGGATGATTTAACGCAAAACCATGGTTTTTAGCTACCCATGCCAGACAGCGCTGTTGGTCAACCGAACATCGCTGTTGGTCTGGTTTAGCCAGACCCATGGTTGGTTTAGTCATGCCGTTAGCCGATGTCAAAAATCTAAGTTCTCCAAAATAAAAACCAAATATTGAAAACATTTGTTTAATGCATTTTGCTAAGAAATCAAGTGAAACATCTTGAAAACCACGTCATTTACATAAAAACCACGGCTAGCCAAGTTTACGCCGTTTCGCATGGTTTTTACTAAACGGCAAAAAACGAGGGGTGGTTTTTGAAGCGTTTTTGTTGGAGAACTATTTAAATATGCCCAGAAGTAAAAACCAATCATAAAAGTTTTAAAACCACTTGGTTAGTTCGGACGCCAAAACCAACCATGATAATCGAATGCCGAATGCCGGTTTCTAAAAACCGAATGCCGGATGGTTTGGGTTTTGGTTTGGGCGAACACAAAGTGGTTTAGGCTTGTTTAAAACTTATGGAAAATTTTTTTGAATATGCAAAAGAATATTTCAATGAGATGAGCCTAGAGAGCCAAGTTTAGAAGTTTGTGCCGGTCTTGATCACATTAAGACCGACTCAACCTATTTCTAAGACTTCGTTCTTGGTTCTTGGTTTTTGGTTCTCGGTTCATCATATCATGTTCCTTCGCCTTTGATTTGCTCAGTTTAATATTGTTATCACGGAGGTTTGACATTATCAAAACCTGTCATAAAACGAACACGGTTTAGTACGACATAGGCGTAAACCCGTGTTCCAACAATTTCCCCCTTTTTGATGATGGAGAACAAGACGGGAATATGCATACTAAGGGATATTTGATTTTCAAAAAAAATGTGTGAAAAAGTTCCCCCTTAGTTTGTGCTTAAAAGCAAATAGTCGTTTTAAGATCAAACGATCCCGTTTTTAGAAACGTTCCCCCTTAGGATATGCATAGCCCTTTTCTTCCCCCTTTTGACATTAACAAAAAGATAAAAGACAAGTTTTATTTATTGAATTGGGAAAGAGCGGAGTACAACGGAAGCAATTAATTAAAAAGGAAAACAAGACAATTGAAAAAAAGGGTAGAAATGCTAGGGGCAGCCTAGTCTTTGTCTTCGGTTTCCTCCTCATCGTTGTCGACGTCCATCCCATCACCGTTAATGGCGTCGTCGAACTCATCCTCGTCCGGGGAGCTTGACGGACGTAGTTGACGCGTTGGTACAGTGGGGGGACGTAGTTGACGCCTTGAAAGTATGCGTTCATGGCATGCCCTTGGCGTTGAACAGCCTCGTCAAGCCGTTCAAGGTACCCGTCCATCCCGTCAACTTTGAAGTGCAGCCGGTTGAGGGAGTAAGCGATGGAGGCAAGGTTGGCCCGGGCCTGGGGTTCGGCTGGGCCATCGGCAGTGCGGCGTGGCGCGAAAGTGGCAGGTGCGGCGTTGTCCGACCGCTTCGTGAAGGTTTGGGCGCTGATCGTCCAAAGCTTCGTGGCCTTTGTGAGCGGGCCAACGGTGGTGGTGACCTTGAACCGTTCAAGGATGTCCATCACCAAGAAGGGGTACGGGAAGAGGTGATCGTGGGCGGTAGACGAGGCGTCCGTCATGTAGATCATGACGAACTTCGCCCAATTGATCGGCTCTGAATGCATGATGGCGTGAAGGAGCTTGAGATCCTCGTCGGACATGATCGTGTGCCTATGCTTCCGGGGCTTGATGATCCGAGACACGATGTAGAGAAGGAGGCGGCTCTCGGGGGTCGCGGAATGGATGGTGGGGCGGCTCATGGGATGGCGGATGAGCTCGGTGATGCCAAGCTCGTTGAGAACTAGGCCCTCGTTGTTAAGGACCCAATCTTCTCCGCTGTAGTTGGAGATGTCGTCACCTTGGTAGAGGAGGCCGGCGATGCGCCCAAGCTGCTCAACAGTGAGCTCGATCAGCATGCTCTTGACGAGGGTGTAGAGCACGTCGTCCTCATGCCGGAGGTTGGAGTAGAACACCCGAATCAGCGCCGGGTTGATCTCCTTCCGAGCCCGGGAGACGAACGGACATAACCCGGTCTGGTGGAGCTGCGCATCGAGAAAAATGTAGCCTAGCAGCTCCGGTAAACGCTCCGGGAAAATTCGCGGGGGAGCCACAACTCGTTTAGAGAAGAAGGTGAGAAAGCGGGTGCGCTCCTCCTTGGAATCAAACCAGAGGTACGACCCATCGCCGTAGTAGAGGCGTTCCTCGGAGGTCGTCATAGGAGCCCGAGATTTGGCCTTTGATTTCCCGGATGTTCCTGCTCTACTCTTGTCTTTGCCCATGGATGAATAGATCTCAAAAAAAAGTGTAGAGAAGATGATATTTGCTTGAAGATTGAAGAGATTTGTGTTTGTGTGTGTAGAAGTGAAGAGAGAGGGTCCCAATATACAGGGAAAGGGGTTCCGAACGACCAGATTATCAAAAATATGGCTGTTGGAGCATTTAATTCAGTGCCCAACGGATATTTTTTTTGAAAAATTCAACTTGAACAGCGATGTTCCCAAGGCGACATCGCTGTTGAGACAGCGCTGTTGTGCCTTCGTACACCGTTGTTGTGCGTTATGTTTTAAAAAGAGGTGTCAAATGGCCAGCGATGTTGAGTTCCCTACATCACTCTTCCAAAACTTTCTGGAAATGTGTAAGGGTTTGAACCCATTAGAGCAGCGCTGTTGGGTATAACTACATCGTTGTTTTACGATAAGGAAATTTTTTTTAAAAATGGACAGCGATGTTGCTATAATGTACATCGCTGTTGAAAAACTTTCTGGTTCTGATTGAAAGCATGGTGTTTTAAGGAAACAACGATGTTGAAACATGCTACAGTGATGTTTCAAAAGTTTCTGGAAAAATAAAGTAAGAGGACTCCCTGTGACAACGATGTTGATGTATTGTACATCGCTGTTTGCCCAAGTTGGTTGACGGTGTTTCCTTCAACAGCGCTATTGGTCTCCTAGACAGCGCTGTAGGAACATCGATGTTGTCCTTATTACAGCGCTGTTTGCATGGTTCCCCCTGATTTTATGAACGGGGTACCTGCAAAAAAGAAAAAGTTCTCCGACGCTCAAGTTCGTAAACGTTTAACAAGTGAAAATGCACAACTTAGATAATCGTGGAGTCAAGGATTCCGAGTTCACTTCGAATGCAGAAGAACGACTCTTTCTCTTAAGGTTTTGTGAAAATGTCGGCTAATTGGTTGTGTGTTTCAACGAACTCAATTTCGACATCACTTTTCAGAATATGATCTCTGATGAAATGGTGCCTAATGTGAATGTGTTTCGTCATTGAGTGAAGAACGAGGTTCTTTGTCAAGCTTCTTCGTGAAGCTCGGTTTCTTCTTGTTCATGGGCTTCCTCGTGTTCTTCTTCGTCTGCTTGATCTTCTTCATTTTCGACCGTCACTTGAGGTGTTTGCTCAGTTTGCGGCTGCGGGTTGGTGTATATTGGCATGTCTTCTTCATCATCTTCGACGTGTATTCTTTCGAGCGAATCTGCAAGATCATTACAAATAGCCTTTCTCGCCAAGTGAGTATTATCTTTGGAAAACACAACATGAGGAGACTCCTCAATAGTCAAAGTACGTTTATTAAACACTCTCTAGGCCTTGCTACGTAGTGAGTAACCAAGAAAAATTCCTTCATCCGACTTGGCATCAAATTTTCCCAAGTTATCTTTGCCGTTATTATGAACAAAACATTTGCAACCAAAGACTCGAAGATGGGTAAGGTTTAGCTTTATCCCTTTGTACAATTCATAAGGTGTTTCCATGAGTATCGGTCTAATGACGGCTCTGTTTAACACGTAGCTCGCGGTACTCACTGTTATACCCGAACCCGGGGTCTTATCATGTAGATAATTTGAGGGCGGGATTACGGAGGAATTGGTAGCAAACTAGAACAACCTTTAAACTTCAAGAGGGGCTGATAGTTGACTGACAGAAGGAGACAGTCGATTGTTAGAGACTGCAGGAATCCTGGGGGACGTGATAATCGATTGACAAAAGGAGACACTCGACTATTGAAGGATGCAGAATTTCTGGGAAGCTGATAGTCGATTGTCTAAGGAAGATAGTCGACTTTTGAAGGCTGCAGATATTTTTATGTTGATGGATAATCGATTGTCAATTAAGATAATCGATTGTTGGGCAGAATTCTGGGCAGGAAAAAGGGTGTTTTGTGGGGGGAATGGCTTGGAAATATATGGATATGATGAAGGAGTTCTTTTGGGTGTTTTTAATGGAAGAAAAGAGTAAGATTAAGAGGAGAAATGGGGAGATATGGAATGGAAGAAAATGAGGGATGGATAAACGAAGTTGGTGTTTAAGAGATATTACACACTCTTATCCTCACTTGGGGTTTGAATCTAGAATTTAATTAAGATATGACACACTTAATCAAATATCTAGAACCTAAAACTCACACTTAAGATAACCACTCTTAAGATATAGAATTAGGAATTTGGCTAAAATAGCATCACACTATTTTATAAATACTCAAAGAGTAAAAGAAGTTTTAATATTCAAAGATGTGTTACAACGACCATAGGGCCTGAGTTATATAGGCAGGGGAAGGGGGAAATAATACACAATGCAATGAATGTGAACATGAGGAAGCTTCCTAGCAACATCCTCTCTCAAAGCATGGGGCATTCTTCATTCAAACCTGTCTCCTTAGTGGGATAAAATTCAGGGATGGGGCTGGTGTTGTGGGGGTTTGTGTTTTGGTTCCTTGTGGTTGTTTCCTGGGTTTTTTGTGGCTATTATTTAGGTAAAAATGGGGGTTGTTTTTTGGCTAATAAAAGGGGGCAGGAAATGTGTGGTTTTGGACTTATAGGTTTGGGTTATTTGCAAGGGAACATGGGCAGGAAATATGGCTGGTGGTGGGTCATGGTTTTTGGCTCTTTGTTGATGTTGTGTTGGGATTGTGAGGGATATTTGGCCAGGGATTTAGAGGAAGGGAGATAAGGTTTTATTTGTTTATTAAAAGGCTAAAAGAAGGAAAATAACAACAAACAAAAGGTGTTGGTTTACACACCCTTATTTTCGGCCATGGGCTAAAATAAGTGTAGGAAAACTTTATTTTGAAAAGAATTAAATGGAAAGGAGTTTTGGATGTTTAGGGTGGGGTTTGGCGGTGTAACGCCCTAAAATATACCCTAAAATTTATTGAATTAAATATTCAATTAAACAAAATTTGTTTTGATTAAAATAAATTGTTGTTGGGATTTGGGCTTGAATAAAATATATATTGATATCCAATAAACATAATTGGGATAAATCTTATAGAGATAAATCCAACATGTTGATTTATTGTGTGATCTTGATTGGGAACCTGAGTACAGACCCAAATTAAGAATAAATGAAGAAATTGTTTATAATGTGAACTTTGAAATGATTTATTGAAATAAATCATGGGAATAAATAATATGAATTAAATGTGAGAACCTTTTTGAATAAAGGCCAATTTTGACTCTGTCAAAGTCAACCACCCAAAAATATGATGTCAGAAAAAGTATAACGAATAAATATAAAAATTATATCGTTGGATAGAGTTCGACTGTCTGATCGCAACGGTGCAAACGATTTTCAATTCGGAGAAAGTTGGACCAAAAAGAGTACCCCGACTGGGACCGAAATTAGTCCCAATCAGGGAAGGGCGTGTAGATCAATTAGAATCGCCGACCTGCGCACTAAGGAAATTCTACGAAAAATGAGTCAGCTTACCAATGTCTTCTTCCCCTTCTCTTCTTCTATATAAGGATACTCCATCCTTATCAATTTTGCACCAATGTTCTGCAAAATTATAC